CTCATGCAGCGGTAGAGCTGGCATAGAGTGAACAGCCATAGGAGGGAGGCTGCCAGGGGGAATAATTGATTCCAGAAAGAGTTGGGCACTCAGGGCCCTTACTGGGTACAAGCCTGGGAGAGCTCCTGGTATTAAATGGACTGCATGGCCTGCTTCCAGGTGGCTGCTCTGCTGGGCTCAGTTCCCTACAGGGCAGGAACCCTGCTTAGAGCTTCAGGAGGTGAAATAAAGGATGCATCACTGAAAGCACTTTTCACTAAGTGAAAAAGTGTTCAGTTCTCATTGCTAAGGGCACAGCTCGGTTACGGAGCACAGAATGCTCCTTTCACACCAGAATGATGCTGGAAGGGAAGGAGAGCCAAACAGACTCCTGTCCTCAGCACAGGGCTGCTCACGGCCACATGGAGAGCCACTACTTGGTGTGTGCCAGGAGGAAGTCTGCGAGGGGAAAACATTCCCTCTCTGCAGACTGGGGCAGACCTGGTGGGAAACTAGGGTTTGTGTGCTGAGTGAGAGGTTTGGAATGGCTTGGTTCCTTCTGCTGGCTTTTGAACTACTGGTTCTCTACAGGAAATCAGGTGCTGGAATTAACTGAAAAGCCCAAACCAGCCCTGGGCCCCTGGTTTGCTAGCATACAGGTCAGTGACTATGGGAATGTGCTGACCATACCTCTTCACTTTCTTTTTTTTTTTTTCAAACTTTCAAGAGGTATTTTGCAGCACTCCCTTAAAAATGCTGCGCTCAGAGTGACCATACCTTGTGACTTTGCTGTACTTTTCCTGCACGGAGCCACTGAACTTCTACTCAAGGTCCCATCCATGCTTTGAGAGGGCTCCCCAAGCTGGACAGTGGCTACAGGTTTTCCCCAGGTTCTGCTCAGCACTTTGCTAAGGAATGCACAGCAAACAGCTTCCATTCAGGCACCATTTGTCTCTCTGGCAACAATTTTTCGTTTCTTTAGTATGGGAGAAATATTAACTGTCATTAACAACTGCCTGCTTGGGCAGAAATGGACATGAAGAATATGTGAGATACTTTTAGATGGACTCACAAGGTTTCCCACTGAGTGTTTCTGCTTTTTCTTGCCATAGTAAATGACTGTTCTTTTTCAATTGGTTTGCATGTTTCATGCCCTGCTTGCACGTGTCCCTCTGTCATGTGTCCCTCTGAGCTGTGCTGTTGTCTTTCCTTGCAGGTATGAGAAGATGATCAGTGGGATGTACCTGGGGGAAATAGTCCGCAATATTTTGATTGACTTCACCAAACGAGGGTTCCTGTTCAGAGGGCAGATCTCAGAGACACTGAAGACCAGGCATATCTTTGAAACCAAGTTCCTTTCACAGATTGAAAGGTAAGGGCATCGCGTGGGAGACTGTGCAGAGTGAATCAGTGCGGTAACCTGTCGTGGTGCTGCTGGCGGGGCCTGACAGTGGAAGCAGCTGTTGATGCAGTGAGGCTCCTGCCAGTGGCTCAGCTGAGGAAAGCCTCTAATGCTGTGTTCTTCTGCTCCCACAGTGACAGGTTAGCCTTGCTTCAGGTGCGAACCATTCTTCAGCAGCTGGGGCTCAACAGCACATGCGATGACAGTATCATTGTCAAGACAGTGTGCGGAGCGGTGTCAAAGCGAGCAGCTCAGTTGTGTGGTGCTGGAATGGCTGCAGTTGTAGATAAAATTAGGGAGAACAGAGGCTTAGAGCACCTGGAGATAACGGTTGGTGTGGATGGGACTCTGTACAAACTACACCCACAGTGAGTATTCACCTCTGTGTTTGTTTTGCGACCTGTAGTGTGTTGCTGCGTGTCCTTTTCCCAAGTGGTTTCACTTGTTTGCTAGGATGAGAGCCAGGGAAAAGAGATCTTAATCAGGGTTGGCTGGAGCCTTCTAGAGGGTTATGAGAGGATCAAGAAAGACTTGGGAAGGACTCAGGGGCTGTGCCAAGCTGAAGGCGACACAGCTTGCTGAGCAGGTTTGAGGCCATGTTGCAAGGGAATGATCTCTGACAATGACAGAGCAACTTGAGTGCCTGATGCTTCTCTGGGAGATGGCTCTGCTCATCAGGCAGAGGGGATGGACCACTAGAAAGCAGCGACAGGTGAAGGCAGGGGGTCTAGCACAGTTGGGTCCACAGGGAGGACAGGAATAGTGCCTGTCTCCAGTGTAAAGAGGTAGATGAGAAGGAGAAGAGCATACAGTATCTTTTTTTCCACTTTGCTGTAGTTCTAGTGGTCCAGGTAGACCCGTATGAAGAGAGAGAGAGAGAAGAGACCTCTGCTCCCAGTCTTCTCACCCACTATAGTTTCCAGCATTTAATTGCCTTTGCTGTGATAAGGGGAGCACTGCAAAGGCCTGCAGCAGTGCTGTGCTCTGCAGGTGCTGCAAGACCTCCCTTGCCCACTGCCAATGTTTCCCTTTGCAGCTTTTCGAGGATTATGCACCAAACAGTCAAAGACCTGGCACCCAAGTGTGATGTGACTTTCCTGCTCTCAGAAGACGGCAGCGGGAAAGGGGCAGCGCTCATCACAGCAGTGGGATGCAGGCTTCGTGATGCCGAGCAGAACTGAACTCCACAACCCTGGCCTTGAGTCTGTCTCGTGAGCACCTTCTCCGAAAGCAGCGACTGCGTAGTCTGAACTGGTTTAAAAAAAAATAAAGAAAAGAAAGAAAACAGCAGAACTCACTGCTTTATCGGGAAAAAAAAATGCAACTAATGACATAAAAAGAATAGGATTCAAGATAGAATGTGTGCTGTTAATAATATCTCCTGTTTATGGACCCCAATCTGCATGTTTCTTATTCACCTTGTTGGTACCTTTCCCATCTGTAGGTCATGGAAAAAACTGGTCTATAATTTCCGCAGTTACAAAACAATCGGTTGTTGTCCGAGATGAAATTCCCCCCAGTTGATGTGCGTTGAGATCTGCCACTGCGTCGTACCGAGTGTGACCTTTGCAGCTTCCCTGTGAAGTGCACTGCCAGCACGCTGACCACCATGCCTGGGTGCTGATGCTTTCTGTGAAAGGGAAGCAACAGTTCCCTCCCGCAGATCTACCTGCTGTTGTTTTGTTTAAGGCCACTTTGGAAGAATTGCGGTGTGTCGGCGCTGTGCACGCACGTAACTCTGTAGTGGGATTTGACAATGCGACTTACTTGCTTTCTTGATGCCTGTTTTGTCATGGTAAAATTAAAGTAAACGCCCTTGTCCCACTGTTCTGGTTCCACTGGTATTTCCCCTTGCTTCTGTGAACGGTGTTGTGTTACTGAGCAAAATCTGTAACATTTTGGCACGAAATCCCTACGGAGTCCAACAAAGCAGCTGGTGATAGGGGTAATCCAAATCTTCAGACCTGGGAAATGAGTAAACCTCTGGTCCCTGGGCTGTGCTGACCTTCATCTGTTTAAAGAGTTCTTAGGAAAGTTATTTTTTATTTCTTCTCATTAGTTTAGCTCAGGGTGTGCGGCTGCCCTCCTAGGAATCTGCAGCTCAGTAGTTTCGCTCAGACGCGTACTTCTGCCTCTCGCCTTAAATGGGTATTTGCTTCCACACAAAGCTTTAATCTTTAGTACTGTTAAGCAGGCACTCAGAACACGAGCATTCAGCTAGAGCTAATGACCAGAAAGGAACGTGAGGGCTTCGTTTTAACCTTGACATTGAGGACCTGAACAAACCACAAAGACAACATCAGGCCCGGCTTATTCCAAGGACTAAAGCAATGACAAAGACCGTGTACACTTGGTGCATCCTGCCCTCTGTCGAGTTCGAGTCGATGCCATTATTGTATCTGCACAGCAGTCAGTTGCATTACTTACACTGAGAAGCAGTTAGGAAGGCAAAAGCTAAATAACACTTGCCAGTCGCTCTGCTTTCTGCAAAGAGGGAGACCACGCAGCAGCGCTGAATTCCCACTCTTCTACCAAAATACATGTGAAGTCTCTGCATGGTTCTCCCCACTCTCTTCTCCTGCAGAAAGTAGCTGACAGCGTGCGGGCTGCTCCTCTTCGTCCTCTTGCCACCCGTAAGATTTGGATTGCCCTACCTATCGATAACATTTCAATATGCGTTATGGTGCACTGTGAGTGAATGTTGTAAAGTAACATGTGAGTCACAAACAGTCATTGCAGCTTTAAGTGTGTCTACCTGAAAAATTGCATGCCTGACTGGTTTTGCAAAGGTAGAGAGTCTTTTTATTTCGCACACTAGTAGCTCTGATACTAGTGTTACATGGTATTTGTGACAATATTAAACTTTCTGATGTGTGTTACCTGGTGTTTAGTGGTTCTTTCTGGAAGAGGTGCTGTTGGCCGCCAGCTTCGTGCTTTGGGAAGAGTTATTGTGCAGGGAGAGCCAGAACCTAATCCTGATAGTGCCTGGTTGTTTTTTGTTTTTTTTGTTTTTTTTTTTTTTCTGGTGTGTGCCTTTGTGTGTGAATGCCTTTGTGTGTGTGTGTTTGTTCCAACAGGGTGCTTGTCGTGCAGGCCTCTGTGCCTGGTGCTCCCCCTCATAGCTCAGCAGAGGCACAGAGCTGACAGCACCCTGATCTTAGGGTGACTGAGTTTTGGAGGTGAGGGCACAGGTTTTGTTGGATTTTGTTAGTTGGATGCAGCTCATAGCAACCACCTACCACAGGTGGAAGCAGCGGGAACTGGCGGGGCTTCCATTTCCAAACTGCTTCTTACCCTTAGAGAATAGAAGTCCTCAGGGACTGCTGCATGTGAGAGAGGTTTGGCTTGTGAGAACAAAATAGTGAGCTCACTGGGGAGGTGTTTGCTTCCCTGCAGCATGAGTCCGCACAACCTCTAGACCCCGTATTTGAAATAATTGGATCTTGTTGACATTGTAGGATCTTCCTGCATGCCAAGGTGTGGCTCTGTAACGCTACATGCAAACCTATCATGAAGGGTGAAGGGGATTGCAAGGTGCTACTTATCAACCTGGTATAAAATGCTGTGTCACATTATATATCACTTTTGTATTTCAGCTTCTGTTTTGCATAGGTGCGCGTATCTCAGGCTTTGAAGATGACACATTTCAGCCTTTATTTTAGTATCTGACGAGGGAAGAACAGTGATGACAGAAATGGGTAAGTCTAGAAGGGGAAAACAAAGGGGCTTCTGTGATGGGGACCTGACAGGGCTGCTGAGGTTGTGGTACAGGCAGCCTCAGAGTACAAAGCTCAGAAATGCCAAGGCTATTGCACACCTATGTATCACACCATGTGCTGCTTAATGTGGGGGCTAAGGAGCTGCCCTCAGCAGGTATTGCTGAGCACCTTCCTTAAGGATAGGAGATCACAGGCTCAACCAACCCTGTCTGTGACTCTTCAGAGGAGAGTCCCCAACTGGGTGCCACAATGAAGGAGGTGAAGGTGGAGGAGTCACCTGAGCACAGTTTAACAGGAAAATTACATCATATTTTGGTACAAGCTTACAGAAATCCATGCAAAGATAACTCTTTAGGGAACTGTTTCTCACTTCTAATTGGTGAGAGTGGAAGTGGCAGGGCTGAAAACCCCAGAATTCAGCATAATTCCAGAAAGGCTTTTCAGAAGAAATCAAAGGGTTTGCTGGGTGAGGGTAAGTGATGTCTTCTCTTTCTCATTGAATTGAGTTTCAGTGTTGGAACTTGATCTTCTTGCCTTTCTGCGGGTTGACTGACAGAGAGATGGGGCCGTGAGCTTAAGCTTGTCTTTCTCAGTTGCTTTTATGCATGGACACCACCGGAAGGCTAATTTGAAACCAGAACGAAACCTGTAAGCATAAGAGAAGAAAATAAATGCAAAGACCTTTTCAATCAAAAGAGCAAACGTGCATTTTGATTCTACTCCTGAGTCACCATGGAAATAAAAGGTTCCGCTCTAGGGTTGGGCGTTTTGTTGGTGGTGTCTCAGTGAAACTGGGCTGATGCTGCTAGGGGTGTGCAGACCCACATGAGCATCATGCCTATGCTGGGGGTTCAGGTGTGGGCAAGCGACTGAATCAGCTTGGTGCTGGGCCAGCAGATGTATTGAAGGGGTTGCAGATTCATCCCTCCTATTAAGGCATGCTACTCACCTTTGGTTGAGACAACAGTAGATGATAGGGTTGTACATTGTTGAGCTCATGGCAAGCAGAAAGATGGTTAGATAAACCTGCTGAATGTACTTCTGCTGGTAGATGTCTTCCTTAAAACTCCCCAGGATGAAGTATATGTGATAGGGCAACCAGCAGACAGCAAAAATGATCACAACCACCACCATGGTCTTCACAAACTGGGGAAAAGAAACAAGAAGTGTACATTAATCCTGGGCCTCTGTCTGGCTGATTTTGCTGGGATATACAAAACTCTGCTACTGTTCTAGGCCTGTTTTGCCCCCCTGAAGTACTGTGTATGGGCTGTTTGGGCAAGGAAACCAGTCCCGATAGAGGAAATGGGAGGCATGTGGATTCACCAGGCATGGAGTTCTGCCGGGCAGCCACTGATGTGAGCTGCCTTCTTTGGACTCTGGCTGGGGTGTGAAGAACGTTGCTTTTACCCTGCTCACTGGGTCCCCTTGGCCTAAGATACAGTCCATCAAACTTTGGTGCCCAGAGATCCCACAAGATTTTATATCAAATGCAAGCTCTAACTGAAGCAGGAGCCAGAAGGGCTGCTGTGCTGAAGGTACTCATTTTTGAGTCTCACTTCTGACCTTTTTTTTGGCGTTAACTTGATGTTTGTATCGGACTCGATTAACGTGGTTGCCTGGAACCGCACTGCTCCACAGCGTAATTCCTATAATGCTGTATGTAACAAACATCACCATTAAAGGCAGTAAATAAATCAACACGATCACGGCAATGTGATACCTGAAAAAGAAAAACAAGCACATTTCCATATCAGTGTGTCTCCTGAAGGGATCTCCAGAAGTTGTCTGGCTCCCATCAACTTCAGTGCCAAAGCATCATCAAGAAATTTTGCCTACCAACATCATTACAGGGGCTTCTGTGAACAGAATCAAGGAATCATGAGGTTGGAGAAGCCCTCTGCTCTCACCCAGCCTACCCCCATCTGCCTACTGCCCATGTCCCTCAGTGCCACATCTCCATGACTCTGCAACACCAGGGATGGTGACTCCAGCAAAGGCTCATCTCTCTTGTGGTGGGATAGACCACTGCTGGGCTACAGCAGGAGAGCGGTGTATTGAAAGCATTTCTCACCGGCACACTGCTCCATTTCTGTTCCAGATGAAAGTGCTGCTACCGTCCTCGGCTGTATGTGAGCTCTGGCCCTCCCTGTTACCCCACAGCTCCTCTGCTTGGGTTTGACTATTTTAAGCAAGCACCATTTATGGGGAGGGAACAACCTGCTCATTCAATTACAGTGGCTGTCAAATTAACATAAACAGTGTGAAAACTGGGATTAGGAAGGAGGGCCCTGGCACATGTTGCTGGCACTGCCTGCACAAGGCTGGGTATGCGTGCTTTTTCTCTGCGTGACAACACCATGTAACTCCTCATTGCGTTAGGAACCAGGCTCAGCTGTTCTGCAGAGAACCACAGGGATCGGTATCAGGCTGCTTGCTGTTGTTTGCTCCTTGGGATGGTTGCTCTGTTGCCCGCCTCCTGTAGCTCTGCCTCCCCATCCTTCAGGTCTGAGGCTGCATGGGAGAAGTGAGCTAGCAGATGCACAAAGATTTATGATGCTGGACAGGCTGCAGATCACACAGAGCTCCTGGAACTTGGCACATAATTGTGTGACAATCAATTACAGAGGCAGTGAGCAGCCACAGGAGGTGTCCAGAGTGCCAAGCTCCTACAGCCACTTTGCAAAGCAGGGCAGGACTGCGTGTCACCCTTTCTTACTATGAACATGGTCACATGGCAGCTGTTCCCTCAGCTGACTAAGCTTGGATGGGCTGCCCCAAACCTGTTTTCCCTCACTATGTGGTTCTTCCATATCTCCCCCTCCCTCAGCCCTCTCCCCCAGTACTGTCTGCAGCCAACAGCTCAGACGTGAAATTAGTTTGGTAACTTTTTGTAGAAATGGTGAGTTTTCTTCTCTCTCTTACGTGAGCTGGTGCTTTGACCCAATGTCATCTGGCCAGACGACGATGCACTTTGTTGTCCCATTGTCCATCATGATCTCAGCGTAGAAGCACTGTGGGAAGGCGAGCCCAAAGGCCACCAGCCAGATTATCCCAATGATGACCCTGGTGTTTCCAGCAGAAAGCCTGGGCTTGAAGGGATGAATTATTGCCACATACCTGCAAGAAAAAAGGGTAAGACATTTATGGTTGCATTGGTAAACTTTGCAACAAATACAACAAGTGTAAAAATTCACCCAACGATATGGTGGGCCTTATTTGCAGAGCTATTCTGGTAGGCTCCAAGAGCTAAGTCCATTCTGAAGGGGATGACTGCAAGTCTTAAGGTAGGATGTTAGTCCCATTTGGATGGATGGATACCTCTGGTGCAAGGAGGAAGCACCACCTATGCTGTCTGTTTGCAGATGATACTTCTCAAGTATTTCTCTTGCTTTGAATTATGGGTTGTTTTTTTTTTTTTGCTAGTTTTATTTTTAATTATTTTTTAAAATGCTTTGTATATTTGGTCTAAACTTTGGTGCTGTGAACTGTTTGTGTTTGTTTGGAGTTACGTGCTACTTTTCTTCCCTCCTTGAGCAAAAAGACCTAAACACGCTGTTCCCACTGTGTCCATATCATTTGATACCGGCTATCATGAAGACAGCAGATTGGAGCCTCAATATCCTTTACTTTGCATTTTTTTCCCACTGATTCTTAGCAGTGGGAAACTGTCGTGCCATTCACCTCTGCCTGCCAAAGCCGGAGTCCTTGTGATTTAAGGGACGGGCTGCCGCTTCTGCCCCACACCTGCTCAGGGCCCTCATGCCACATCTGACTATTGGGTTACTTCTCTGCCTGGTTTTAAGTTCCCCAAGCAGAAACGCATGTGATCATAATGAATACATAATCAATTATGCATTTCTTGTCATGCTTTCCACAGTCTTTGTCACAGTTGTTACAAAGGCAAAATAGAGTGGAAAATGCCAATGGCCTCTGGTGGAAATCTGTGGATCCTGTGCTGTCTGTTGGCTGAGCTGCTGAGAGGGAGCTCCGCTGACACTGCTGCAGCACGGTCAACAAGCCAGAGCTGCACACAGCAGAGCCTTTTTTAGCTATAAAATGTTTGTGTCACCTTGCATTTCCTTAGCTCATCGCAGGCAGTGTTACACAATGCTCAAACCTGCTCAGGGAAGCATGACATGGCAATATTCTCCAAAGAGTTTCCTAAACCCATGATCTGCAGCACCAGTGGGTGCCAGGTACGACTGCTGTGCTGCTGGAGCTGCCTGACCAGCAGCCCGTGCTGCAGGAACCCAAAGTATCACTGTGCTTTCCTCTCTCCTCTTGCTGTGCAGATCTGCCTTTGCCCCCTGCTTATACCCCCGTCCACGGGACATCCCAGGATGTGGATGTGAGCAATTGAAGCCGTGACTGTCCATGCAGGCAGTGATGACAAATGGATTCAAACACTTTCGTCCCCCTTTCTTACAATAAACAGGTTCTAAAGACAGTGTTCTGTTAAACCTAAGCAATGGAGCCGAAGAGGACGTGAGTTCTCATAACAATAAATGCAAGCTGTGAGTTTCCAGGAGGCCGTGTCAGGATCTATTTTAAGGGTAAGCGAGAATAGCTAAATATGGTTTGTGGGGAGATGCCAAGTTTTCTTTCTGATCCTTGCCGTGTGACCAGGGAGATTTTGGCTGTACAGATACTTCCATCGAATGTCCCTAACAATGAGAGCGGGAAGCCGAGGGGACAGGCCGAAATGGGGTTATTTCAACCCCATTTAGCAGACTGTGTGTATGAAACAGCTGTTACTGACAGCCCTTGATTTCAAGCCAGGAAAAGCAAAAGAGTATCGGAGTCTCAGAAGGAGCTGCTGTTGCATCTAAATACAGCCTTGCTTTCATCTGCAGGGCGATCAACACATCACTCATCCCCATGCTTATTACCAACCCTTCCAGCCGCTACGGCAGCCGCTGCCCCGTACTTGGCAAGCTGCAGGGCCGGTTTCTGGGCGTCACGCACGCAGGGCAAGGCCTTCTCTTGCCAGCTGGTTTGTTTATCTGCTGCGATGCGCCCGTCTCCTGCTTCCTGCTGCTGGGGGCGTGGGGCAAGCCCAGCCCTGAGCAGGGCGGGAGCGATGGGCTCACCCCAATGAGTCACAGAGTAGGGCTTCTCGGGGGGGCTCCAGAGGGACCATCTCCCTGGAAGAGCTTCTGCAGATATGCACGCTTGATAAGAAACAGGAAATCAGAGGGGAATGTGGGGTCAACAGGAGTGCTCAATAAGGAAGCAGCAGTATTTCTGGATGCCTGGGTACAGGCCTCTGCCAAAAAGGTTCCCGGAGTCAGGCGGCCAGCAGAATGAACAGAGGGAGGGCGGAAGGACGGAAGGAAGGAGGGCAGAGAGTCCCGAAGGGTGCTCGGCTGCTCCATGCCCTCACTGACTGCCTGCAGGGCAGGAAATTCCCATGGACTTCTGACCACTTTCTAGTAAAAAGAAAAACAGCGTCACACTGCTTACCAATGAGGTGTAAACACAGTGAGTGCCCGAAGTTAAGCTCGAGTAAAGAGGCTTGGCAGATGTAAAGAGTATTATGAAAATGCCAATTACCTCAGAAGTCAAACAAAATCACTGTGATTACTTCCCTCCCTCTTGGAATGTGCCATTCTTGTGATCTGCTGCAACCAACCGCCGTCCCTGATCTGCTTCCTACTGTTGCTGGGGGTTTGCCAGTGCACTGGGCTAGCAAGTGGGACTGAAGTTTACAATGTTTTCAGCATCCCACAGTGTGTTCCTATTGCTTCAGCTCCATCCCAGGGATGGCTCCTCGTGGTTTGAAAAGAAAGAACAAGATAACACGATGACGAAGGAACATTTTATGACCAGTAACATGGGAACAATAAAATTGCAGCCACTTCTACTTGTTATAGACTCAGGGTGGAGATAAGCCAGAAGAGCACACTTTCATGCCAGGACTAGCTTGTAACCCCATAGCCTACTTGCCTAGCGCTCACCCCACTCTTCAGATAAGGCACCTGACACGGTAGGTGGGGGCCGATCGCACAAAGCATTGCAATCATGGTCTATAACTCAGGGAAGGCTTTTCAGATCTTGCCCCTTTGCCTCTTACCTCTCTGCCGCCACTGCCGTCATGGAGTAAATGCTCACAAACATTGCGGTGATGGGGAACCAGTTCTGAAACCTGCAGAATTCCTCACCAAAATACCAGACGTTGTGGCTGGCGTAGATAAAATTGAAGATGGTATTGAAAGCAGACATCAGCAAATCCGAAAGGGCCAAATTAACAATGAAGTAGTTGGTGGCAGTCCTCATCCTTCTGTGCGCCAGGATAATCCAGATGACGGTGACATTGCCGATGATGGAGGCGATAACGATGAAGGAATAGGTGATGGCCCACAGGGCGATCTGCCATCCAGGCTGGGTGAATTGGGTGACTGCTGTCCAGTTGTCATCGTCCTCAAGGTAGTCGACCTGCGAAATGTTGCTGGCGTTTGAAATGGGAAAGGTGCTCATCTTTTCTTTCCAGCTAAGCACAAAACACAATCATCTGGCATCTGTGTGCTTTCTTGCAGTAAATGTTGGTGTTACGAATCCTCAATCCAATGGTTCAAGGGCCGTTAAAAACACTTTGGGATGAGGTGTCTCGTGTCCTCTCCTCTTGTTTTCTGAGTGAGGCAGCAGAGTGCCAGGAGAAGATGATCGATAGAGAGGCCCTCCTCCCTGCCTGGCATTGTAACTTGCATGCGGAGAGCGAAACCAAGAGAAGAACTCTTCCCACTTGCGCTCCTTTTTCCTTTAAAATAGGAAGAGGGATGTTTCCGAAGTTGGTGCCAGGCAATCTCTTCCTTTAGATTATTGGAGGGACAAGAAGATATTGATAGATGTATCAAGCCACAAATCCTTCCAATCCAATGGGAATCCCATTGTGTGGTGGTGGTTTTTGGAGGCACCGGGTGCCCAACTGCTCTGCAGCACCGCGGGGACGCGGCTCTGCTGGTGTGCTGGGCAGGAGCTGCACTGGGACAGATGTTGTATGTGGTTTAAGGGGATTCGGAAAGGAGGTGGAGTCTCACAGGCAAAAGCTAAACAACCAAGTTGGCATCAAATGAAACGCAGCAAAGTGGTGCTTAAAGTTCCTTTCCTCCCTCCGTTTATTTGGGAATAAACTCTGAAATGGAAGTGCTGCTGTATCAGCATTTGAAGGCTGAGACCAAGGGGTGGCTGCATTGCTGTGGTCCCTGTATATCCAGGGCCTATGTGGGAACTCCTGCAGCAAGAAGGAAATGATCCTCAACGAGAGTTGAGCAAGTTGCCCTCTGCAGCTATCTGTCAGCTTATCAGCATTTTGATACGTTTCACTGAATGGTGACTGTGCAATGCAACATGACTCAGCCATCAATGTTTAATAGATGGAGTATGATTTAATGTATGCAAATGGAAGCAGCATGTCCTGTTGGTGCATGAAGGATTGCCAGTGCCTATTGCCACAGCCAGATCTGAGCTGTGTCTTCTGGTACGGCTTAGGGGGGATGCTGGTTCTCAGAGTCCCTCTGAAGAAATCTCCCTTCAGCTACTGAAAATTCAGCCCCACTTCCATCTGGTGCAGAAAAGTGTGTGAGAAGCCTGGGCTGAGTGAGCACAGCTCTGCTCACTGTCAGAGCTGGAGCAAACTAAATAAATACAAGCAGCACGGCAAGGCTGAGGTTTCAAAGGCTGTTTGGCAACAGCTCATGCCTGCTCTGTTGGAAGCAGAATGTGTCTCATGTATGTCGTGCTGTCACCAGGGATTTGCGCTCACTTCCAATCATCGTCCTTACTCGCCGGCTGGCATTGCTGCGACAAGGCTGGCACCCGGCTGGCTGGGAGCATGCACTCTTGGCCTTTTCACTTCCAAACTGGAGTGATTTTTGCAAAGGCAGCTGCAAGTTCCTTGAGAATTCACACTTGCCCGTGGCCATGAGCAAAATCTGTTCCTGCAATGTTGCTGAGGACACAGCAGGGAAAGGGGCAACCTAAGGCAGGGGTTGGGTTTGGCTGCTGCCGTTGTTGCTTTTTCTATTGGCGCGGTAGAGGGTTGAGCAAAGGGTGAGAGATGCAAACAAAAGATGTGGGGCTGGAAGGTCAATGAGCGTGAACAAGGTACATTTTGCGTTTTGGAACGATAACACAGAGAGGTGGTGGAGGCTTTCACTGTACTGCGTGTTGGCCTCAGCTTTGAGAGGAAGGCCATTTACTGCTCTATTAGTTGTGTCCAGAAAGGTGTTGTTTTCGTGTTGAGGCAAAGCCTGGATTTAGACAAAAGAGGGTTATTCAACTATTTTCATATGGCTTCCTTATAGAAACCCCAGAGTAACACAAATGGGCAAATGGATGATGCTTCCACACAGCGTCCCCATCCAGCGTGTCCTGCTCTGAGGTTATGTTTTGCCGAAACTGGAGTACGAAAACAAGGGAATATGTTGGGAAAGGGCAACCGAAGTCACGAGTTGTTAACCAGGGGTGATGCTGAGGGACATCCAGCTGCGAGTGATGCCAACGGGACGAGGCAGTAGATGTCAGAGGCATTTGAAATAGGCGATAACTTAGGCAAGGAATACTTGGAATGATTGTTCTATGTTATTGGTGTTATACGTTCCGAGCTGCTCTGCCGCTGCCTGCACCGGGTAGCCGGGCTGGCCGCTGAGCCAAGCAGCTCCGCGCTGCCCGCTTCCCGCAGCGAACCGCGACTCTGTGACGGCGTCGCCGCTCCCGGCCGAGCCCTTTCCCGGCAGCGCGCAGCCGCGGAGCTCGGCATCGGGAACGCGCTCATTGCCGGGGACGCGCTCGGTCCGGGGACGCGTCCCCGCAGCCCGCGCCCTCCGCGGGCGGAAGCGGCGGTGCCGGGAGGAGCGGAGAGGAGCGGCAGGTGCTGCCGGGAGGCGGCGGCGGGATGGCGACGGGGGACGCGGAGCAGGCGCGGTACTGCGCGCGGCTCTCCTACCTCTGCCTCAAATTCAGCCTCATCACCTACTGCACCGCCTTCTGGGTGAGCAGAGCGGCCGGGGGCAGCGGCTGCTTTGTCCCTGCGCGGCTACGGGGATGAAACCCGCCCGCGTTTCCTAGCTGCGGTTGTTGGGAAAAGAGGGCTGGCCGCTGGGCTGATCTCGAGCCCCGCTTTATCGCGGCGCCGGGGGCGCGGGGTCCCTCCGGCCACAAGGCGCAGACCGGGGCGGAGCTCCCCGCGGGACCCGGGCACCTGCAGCCGCGCCTCGGCCGCCTCCTGCCAGCAGCACCGCCCGTGTCCGTCGCCCTATGGAACCCTACGCAACCACCCCCCGCGCTGTGACCGGGAGGCGCTGCCGTGAGCGAGCGCTTTAAGGGGAAGCGCTACCCGTGCGGGGCTGAACGGGTAGCGCTGAGAAATTGCTTCTCTTCTCCGTGGGAAAGCCCCAGAGGCAGCCCCAGGGGTTTGCTGGGAAAAGCGAGCCGAGGCCGGGATGGGGATGTAAGCAGGCGGGTGCTTGCGGAAGGGCTGCGTTCCCCCTCTGCTCGCAGGAACGGGATCATCCTTACAGCGTTGCAGTGTGCGGAGCGGCTGCCGCCTGGTGAACGGGCGGAGGGTCTGTGTGCTTGCAGGAGCGCAGCGGGCGGTGACGGCTGGGATGCTGCCGCTGGTTGCGCTTGGAGGAGGGCGGAGGAGCGGCGCACAGCTCCCGCTATCCCTCCCGGGTTGCAACTTGGTCTCGCAGCCCTGCCTGCGGCACAGGATGGGGACTGGGTGGTCTCGAAGGTCCCCTCCACCCTGAGCCGTCCTGTGATGCTCTGAGCTGGCTGCTCCCTGGTGCCAGCAGGGTATGGGTTGTCCTGGGGGCGTGCATACAACCCCGCAGCCTCGAGCTGCCCACGTTCCCAGAGCGCTGCTAAGGCTGTGCTGTGCTTTAAAACGAGAATTCGCATGGGTTTATTCAGGTGACAGCAGGTTGCAGATCCACCTGATCATGGATCTGGTACAGCAGGAGTGAAAAACATGTTCTGTTGTCATTCCAGGTGATCGGGGGCCTTGTTCTCGCTGTCGGGATCTATGCAGAAGTTGAAAGACAGAGGTACAAGACTCTGGAAAGTGCCTTCCTAGCCCCAGCCATCATTTTAATCGTTCTGGGCATTATCATGTTCTTTGTGTCTTTTGTGGGCGTGCTGGCTTCACTGAGGGACAACCTCTGCCTTCTTCAAGCAGTAAGTGCCATTGGTTTCTTCTGCATGGTAGTTAGAGCTTGTTGCTTTGTATCATCACATAGATTAGATTTAGAGCTGGGGCCCTTTCTAGGTCTATGCTGAAAAATATTTCATTGCACTCCCTGACTTTGTAGCGGGTGATTTGTTGCTCCATGGGCATGGAGAAACTGATGAGGAATGGGAGTCTGGAGCTGGCTGTGCTCCAGAAGGCTGGGGAGCAGCTGTGCTATGGAAACATCTCCTGTGCATCCTGTTGGGTGGTAAAACCCAGATCCTGAGGTCATCTGTTTTGGATGGAGGGAGCCAGGCTGCTTTTTTAGAGAAGCTGCTGTTGAAAATGCAAAAAGTGACCTAAAAACATAGTGTATTTAGAAGGAACAGATTCCAGCTGTTGATAGCTGATTCCCTGCTACCCTGAGAGGTTGGCCTGGAGCTGTGGCACATGCTTGTTTCCCTGTACTGTGGGCACATTCAGGGGGGTGAATAATGTTTGGAGTGCTGCCCCATAGCCAGAAGCCCCCGAGGTGTGGCTGCAGCTTCTCAGAGGGTTCTTGCAGCCTACCATCTGGGAGACTGAGGAAACACGAGGCACAGGGTTTAGTTCTGGGCACAGTGGTTCCTCCAACAAGTTCTTGTTTCAACCAGAGGCAGCCACAAGAGCAAGAACCAGCCTTGGTCACATTGCATGGAGATGGCTGGGGCCTGGCTGCCCCTAGCTTGGGGAGGAGGTGGGGGAGGATATTACATAGACCAAAACAAGAGGTCATAGTGAGTTTTGAAAATATTTGCTGGATCTTGGCTGAAAAGTGTTGTGCTCTCCTCATCAAATGGCTGAGAACCTGTCCTGGGGGTTGTGCTTCCTTGTCCAGCACAGAGCACGCTTTTTGTTCATGCTGTGGGAGTGAGCCTGGAAGTCCCCCAGTCTGTTTCTTGGGCTGATTCCCCATTTAGCAGCAGCAAAGACATCTGTCTGTCTGGTAACTTGGAACAGTGGTACTGGTGTGGGTGGCGCAGAGCTGAAAGCAGCATGGCACGGGAGGATCTGCAGGGAGAAGTCTGGGATGAAAGCAAAAGACATCTGCTTTGGTTAAAGCACTCATTACTGATGGAAGAGCAGGGACTCCTGAGGTGGTGCTGCATGTACCCTGTCCATCCAAAACAGTTGAGCTCAGAATCTGGGTTTTACCACCCAGCGGGTTGCGTCCAAAAATTACACTGATTGGGAAAAGCCTCCTCCTGAGATCAGCCATGGGTTTGCTCTGACACTGCTGGAGATTGTGAAGCTTCCGTGGTGAATTTTGCTGTTATGAAGGGACAAGACATACACAAGTAAATGAATGTGCCGAATGAATGTGCTATGTGCCAAAATGTAGCAAGGCCAGAACTTGGCTCTGATTTAACACTGACAAATTGATAGAAAATGGCTTGGATTACTTTAAAGCACCACTTTACCAAAGAAATGAAAGCTAACAGGTAATTGCTGTCTTTGGAGCATAAAAGCGTAACATTCTGCATGTAGCTGAGCATTTATGAGCTTTGCTATGAAGCAGGGTGCTCTTGTAGGTAGAAATATCTCAGCATGATACATGCACCTCCTCGTTTTGTTTCCATTCAAAGCAGGTGGTTATAGATTTGCAGACTGGGGGAAAAAGAGATCAAAGCGAGGAAAGAAGTCTTGTCTGTGGCATGAGCAATTTTTATGAGAACAAAACAAAATCTATTTTTCTTTGAACACATCTCATATTCACAAAGTTGGCAGTGTCACAGACTCGATCACTTCG